GAGGAACAACTAGACATCTCAGGGATTAGGTCACGCCAACAAGCGTCGGGGTTACCCAACTGGACAGTGGTTCCTAAGAAGTCTCTCTCTGAAGTCTCTGATCACTGTGTTGACGCCCCATGGAGAGCCGATCGCCTCTCTGAAACAGAAATTGGGGATGAGTAGAGGGAAGAATAAGAACCCTACCAGGCGGCAGTTTAATAATCTCACCGGGCCGACCAACTCAGCGCGATCAGCTGGACAGCAGAGATGACCTGATTTTAGGTAATTGTTCAGAGGCACTTGCACGCCTGCCCGAAAAATAGCAACAGACGGCACAGTAGCGTCATTATCTTTGGAGTGCCATAGCGCACTGATCAGTCTCTTACAGCTACAGACAAACAAGATGAAATCTACATTGCTGATGTACTGCGCCACTCGGGCATACGAATTGATGTATTCAAGCACCATAGACTAAACATTAATGACGCTACTAATTAAACACACGCATCCAGACCAATAAGATAGTAGACTGTGGCTCCTAATGGTGCATCGGAAATTCTTCTTCACTCACCCATGCTGTATTTTTCAGATTGGAGCCATATAAGAATACCGCGTGACCTCCAGTGGAGCGAACGCCAGTGGAGGTGAGAGACTACAAGGCAGAACAACAAATCTGACTCTCGTTCATTCATCATAAGAGGCATACCAGAAGCTCAAGGGCAAATCAGTNCGGCAGTCAACAATGGGATTACACTTTGGAAGAATTCAGTCTGTCCGGCATATTAGCTGAACGTGTGATAAGGTTACCTAGGCCTGCCCACCTCAGTAGATTGACTTTGCCTAGGCTCATCAAAGTAGTGCTTTTGATGAAGACATGGAACACCACTTTCTACAGAGAAGGCGCAAAGCCGTGAATATCTTCACCACCGAGATAAAGCTGCACGAGAGCCGACCGTATTTTATGTTGATTGTTTTGAAAATCTTTTTAATACCACGAAACTTCTCTGCGACATAACTCTATCCCTGTGTTGCTTATCTATTGACCTTTCGCAATCACAAACACCCCATACTGTTCTTTATCTGTTGATTTGAT